CTGTTCCCCGTTCCCCGTTCCCCGTTCCCCGTTCCCCGTTCCCCGTTCCCCGTTCCCCGTTCCCCGTTCCCCGTTCCCCGTTCCCCGTTCCCCGTTCCCCGTTCCCCGTTCCCCGTTCCCCGTTCCCCGTTCCCCGTTCCCCGTTCCCCGTTCCCCGTTCCCCGTTCCCCGTTCCCCGTTCCCCATTCTCCGTTACCAGTTTTAGTAACATCCCTTTTGGAAGGCGAAGTGTGGTTCTTTTCGATCTCGAAAGGAGTTTTTGGGAAAATGATTCAGTGCGATTTAATCAAACTTTAAAGTTCGATAAAATGAGCCTATATGACGATGCCATCAGTTATTCGAAAATGTACACATTCACACGCAAACTCGATTGTTTCGCATTTCACATCCAATCTACAGCTTATTTAATGTAATATCATCTTACCGTCCATATTGCTGTACCATAAAAGGGGATTACAGTCCTGAAATTGTTGCATTGCTCCCATAATAACGTTATAACTTGGCAGCATAGTCAACGCATCCTGATAATGATTGTTTACAAAGCGTATCTCAGGGTTTCTCTCTTTCCATTTCGTTGAAAAGGAGGCTGTAATTACTTCACGTGGGAGATCTTTGTTTAAATATAAGTCTTCAACTAAACCGCGAACCAAATGTTGGCGAAATGTTGCTAGTTAGAAACATGTTTCTCGTGGCTGTAGGAACTAAGGTCGTGTGTTACTTAAAGGAAACAGGAGCAAACAATTATTTAACTCCGATCCTTGTTGAGTTCATATTTTTATTTTGTTAATTATTGTTTAGGTTGATAAAGCTCATTTTAGGACAAAAAGAACGAAATGATAAACCTAGTTCGGTGATTAAAACCTCTGCTTGCTACATTTCTACTGTATTTTACTGTTGATAAGTATTCAACTTCCCTGCACTCTTACTAAATTTTCTTCCATTGACGGTATGTCATGGTAATATTCAAAATGAGTTACAGTCAAACCTACCAAATGAAATTCAGAGGGGTATTTTTATCGTTAGTCGCTGAAACCACACTGAGTATCTATAGAAACACTTGGCGCTTACTTTGTGTAAGAAGGAACCGGTCGAGATGACAATTGTCTCGAGTAGAGGTAAGAATTTTAAATCATTTGCAAGTATTTTTTAAGACGCTGAAAAATTGAATCGTATTTCTTTCCTCTTCCTTACTATTTTAATGTTTGATTAATTACAGAAATTACCTTGAAACTGGCATTTTCGTTTACCAATAAAGTGAATTGCAGAGAAAAGATATGAACTCTGCAACAGCATTGCGTGTCGTTCTCCTCACTGATAAGGATGTCCGTTGCTCGTTCAAAACTATAGTAAGAGTACACTTTGACTTCGATAGACGATCCAGAAAAGGGGAAACAGTAATTATACCTCTTCTTGCCTGTTCAAGGCGGATTGAGAGCAATTCCGCTAGCCTCGGTTTTTCCGGGCCAAAAGACGAGGTTGACCTAGTTCTTAGCCGAGCAGCCACATTCTCTCCTCCTGCTGACATACATTCCATGACAAAGCTTGGTTTGGGGTGAACGAGAGGCTCTAGTTCGAGGCGCAGAGTTCCTTCTGATATATCAAACCATGCTCAATAATATATCGCCATGTGATGCATTGATTGGCTTTGGACTCCTATAAGAAGTAGTTATTCACTTCTCAAATTTATTATCATGGAAGGAACGATTTAAGGAGATAGGCACAACATGGGTTTGTTTACTTTCTTTTTTCTGGTTAAATCTAGATGTCAATCTTTTCCCGATGGGCGTGAACATTCTGGTCTGACCAGACAACACTATTATGTTAAATTTTTCATTACGCATCAGCCACGCTCTATAATATTTCGCCATATAATGCATTGATGGCTTTGGACCCGACCATATTTGAGGGGGATAGATCACTACTTGGCTACCTTCTTGGGCAAGAATACTAAATAACTAACTAGCTAAGTTGATTTTTCAAAGCCACTGTTTCCAAAATGCAAGTATTTGATGTAGGTATACCGACTCGCACTCGAGTCTGCTGTGTCAGCTGGTGCAATGATTACTCGAAGCGTTTCTTGAGTTCCGAGATACGCAGAAATGGTTTTATTTCCAGATGTGAGCTTTTTTTGGACCGCTGCCGGGAAAAGGTGGGTGTGAAAAATGTGAACGTGCTACCTGGGTCGTAGTCTTACTACCGGCACGAGTAACTTAACAAGGCACAGTAGCCTCTGGAGAAGAAGTAGTATAAATATAANTATTTGTTTATTTAAAAGAAGTTTTATAAGGGTCAAACCTGGAAAACCACAACTTTCGCTGAAATGTTTGTTAAAGCCAACGTTCAACAGCTTTATATTTAAAGGCTGATAGTTTCGAAAGAAACTGTTTGGGGCTGCGTCGGTGGGAGTAACGAAATAATTTGGATATATCAACAAAGTTGAAATGGTAAATTGGCCACCGAAACGATTACAAGAGCTGACGTTTCGAGCGTTAGCCATTCGTCGGAGCG